AAAATTTATATATTTTTATAATTTTTTTTTTTTTTTTTTTTTTTTTTTTTATTTAAAAAATATTTAATATATAAAATAAATATGTTATTTTTTAGTTTGTGGAATGCCATATGAATATTGTGAATATGGAAAATTTTATAATGAGTGTAAAGAAGAAAATAAAGAAAAATATAATTATGATATTATGAATAACGAAGTTGATAATAATAATAAAAAGCAAACAAAAAAAATCCCCAAAATTGTAATATCAAAAATATATATGTATATACATTTACATTTATATATCTAAACATGTTTATTTATTTTTTTTTTTAGTCTAATCAAAAAATAACAATACAAAAAACAACGAGAGCAAGAAAAAAAGTTGTTACAGTTGTAACGGGATTGCATACATATGTTAAGTTAGAAAAGATAGCAAAGATTTTTTCTAGATTTTATGCATGTGGTTCATCAGTTATTAAAGGAACTAATAATAATCCAGATCAGATAGATATACAAGTAATTATTCATATAAACATTATATATGCAAAAAAAAAAAAAATATATATATATATTTTTTTTTTAACTTCATTTTTCGTTATTTTTCCTTTTTTTATGATCCTTCACTTACAGGGAGATGTAGAACATAATATTGCAGAGATTATAATGAAAAATTGTCCAGAAGTAACTGAAGATAAATTTGTTTTTTTACCACCTAAATAACTGTATGCAACATTTATATAAACTTTTTTTTTTTTTTTTTTTTAATCCATTTTTGATATACTTTAAGGCTTATTTATATGAATTTAAACTATGAAAAAAATGAAAAGTATTCGCAAAACTGATTTCATTATTAATTTAATTTTTAAATGATTATTACATTTTCATATTAATGTTTTCATTAATGTTACAGTAGTTACATTTTTATAATATTTTTTTTAATAATATAAATAATAATGTTATTTATTTTATTATTATTAAATTTACGATTACATTAATGATTATACGATTATTTAATTTTTAATTGTATTTTACTTCTTCCATCTTTTCCAATTCTTTATTTTTATCTTTCCTGAGGATCCTTTACCGCCAAAATTTTTTTTGTTAGTATTTTTTTTTTCATTAATCTCTTGAACATTTATTTGTTCATAATTTTTTCTTTCATTTTTATCTTTTAATAAGTAACATTTTAAGAATTCTAATATTTTATAATCATAATTATCAAAAATATGTTTTTCATAATTTTTTGTATTTGATTCTTCTTCCTTTTTAGTACTATTTTCATATTTGTTTTTATTTATTCTAAGTGTATTAATTTCATTGTTATTATTAAAATAGTTATCTAAGGTGCTTGTCTGTTGGTAAAAATGTGAATCTTTTGAGTTTTTATTATATATTTGTTTGGTATTTAAATTTTTATGTAATTCCTCATCTTTTTTAAACACATTGAATGAATTTAAAATAAAATTGTAAAAATTTTCAATGAAATCTTTAACATTATAAAAAGTGAATACATTCTTATAATCAAAAATATAAATTATTTTGTGAATATTATTCAAATTTTTTATAATATAAAAATCATGAGTAGTTAATATGTAATTTCCTTCATATATAAAATTTAAAAAATTTAACAAGAGATTTTTCAAATAAATATCTAGATTATTGTTTATTTCATCTAATAACAATAAATTTGATTTTTTTAAAAATAAAGAAAGAAATAATATTCTAACTTTTTCTCCTCCACTCTTTTCTTTAATGGAAGTTGAACTATCAATATAAAATATTTTTAACAACGCTTTAATTTTATCTTCAATATTATCAATTTTATCATTGCAGAATAATTTTGTCTTATTTAAAACATAAAAAAAATTTTCATCGAATGAATTAGTTTCAAAATTATCATGAAAATTAATAGGGTAATAACTAACATTTTCTATTAAATTTTTAAAGTGATCATTAATTTCTAAATTTAAACTTTTTATCATATTCTGTTCAAAATATGTTAATAATACATTGTTAAAATTACAATTAATTGTTCCTTCATAATCAAACTTTTTGTTTTTCTTTTGTTCTATATTATCATTATTTTCTTCATTATCATTATCTCCATAAGCGTAAATACTTTTCTTTTTTTCTTCTTTTTCTTTTAATACTAAATTATATTTATTAGTTATTATTTTAAAAAAAGTTGATTTTCCTATTCCATTTTTTCCTAGTATTAAAACATTTTCACCACTATTAATATTTACATTTATATCTTTAAATATATATTTTTTTTTATTCTTTTTATTTAAGAAATAAAAGGAGAAATTATCAAATTCATATAAAGTTGCATTACTTCTTGAATACGTTTCACCAGTTTGTATTAATTCATTGTTTTTAATTTTTTTACTCATATCTATCAAAATATTTTTATTCATATCACTTTCTACATCATTAAGTTTATTATAAATAAATTTTTTTATATCTTCTTCATCTTCATTTTCTTCTTTATATATTGATTGATTTTCATCTGTTTTTACATTAACACCATAATCAATTAAGTTTTGAGAATTTCCGCTTTTCCTATTATCAGAAATATTTTCTATATTTGTGTGTTCATCATAATTTTTTTTTTTTATATTTTCATATGTATTATCGACACTTATTTCATTTTCTCTTTCATTTAAATCAGTGTTCTGCTTAAAGTTTTTTTTTTCATTATTCACATTCATATTTTCCTTATTAGCTAAATTTTTATTCAATTGTTTCCCATAATTTTTAGAATTATTTTTGTTTTTACTACTATAAATTAAATTATAATACATATATTGATAATTTAATTCACTATCAAAACAAATCGAATAAATATTTTGGTATAATTTTAATTCTTCCTCTTTCTTTTTTATAAATTGTTGCATAAATTCTTTTTTATTTTTTTTTTTACTTTTAGATATAGTGGAGTTTAGCTGATCTAATATTTTTTTAAGTTCTTCTTTTTTTTTTCTTCTGTTATCAAACAAAATTTTCATGTTATTTAAATATTCAGTGTAACTTCCTTGAAAATATGTTAAATTACAACTGTTTTCATTATTTTTTGATTCATTTATATCTTTAGAATTATTTTTATTAATTTTTTTTAATAATGCAATGTTATTAAAATCAATATCGTAACCATCAATTTTGTTGAAGTCTAATATTCGGTTACATAGTTTGCTTACTAAAAAAAAATCATGACTTGCTAATATAATTCCAATCTTTTTAAATCTTAATAAATACTTAAAGATATTCATTATAAAAAATATATTGAATATATCTAAATTATTATTTATTTCATCTATTAATAATAATTTAGATTTACTTAATAGTAACAATAACAAGTATACCCGAATAATATAACCATTACTCAAATGGCACAATTTTACATCGAGAAAATTTTTCAAATTTAATATATTTACGTATTTATTAAAGTTCATTTTGATATCATTTATTTCCTTAAAAATATATTCTTTTTCATGCATATATAATTTTAAAATAATTTCAAAATACTTAGATTTAACAAAATTTTCATTAAAATTATCTGTAGAAAGCTTCAATTTATCATTAATATCATTTAAATATTCCTCATTATTATGACTGCCAATATTGTCATTAATATTTTTATTACTATTACTTACAGTATCAATAACTCTATTTAATTTTATTTTATTAGAATTTATATTATTGTTATTTTTTAAACTTTTAGATTTATCTTCAGCTGTTTGATTATGTAATTGATTATCTTTTATACTAAGTTTGTTCACTATTTCATATTTTTGATACTTACTAATGTTTTCTTCTATATAATTTAAAACTTCATACTTTTCTAATGTACTTTCATAAAAATTCAAAACTTTTTCAAAAACGGTTAGATTATTTTTTTCTAATAAATGAATATTTTGCTTAAAATAAAAAACATCATTTTTAAAAAATAATTCATTATTATTTATTTTATTATTATTTTTATTTTGAAAATATGATATATTTTTATTTTTTATTAAAGATGGCATGTTACTTAATTCTAATGAGTTATTTTTCATATATGACAATATTTTATATAGTATCTCAAAGTTATTTTTATTAATTAGAGAAAATAATTTTTCTTCATTTATATTAAAATTTAATAAATTTTTATTCATTTTGTTATTTATAATTATACTTTCAGAATTTTTATCAGCATTTTCAAATATTAAATTCAATAAAGAAGTTTTTCCGCATCCATTATTACCTATCAAACTTACACATTCCGATTTGTTCAATTGAAAATTTAAATTATTTATAAGTTTTTTGTTATTTATTTCATAGCTTAAATTATTTATCGTTAAAATAACTCTATTTTCATCTTCTTTCTTATCATACTTTTTTTCTAATATATTATAAATGTTCAAATTATATTTTGGAGATAAAATACTATATTCATCATTTTCATCAACATTAAATATTTTTCTATATTCTATTTTTCTTTTTTTCTTATTTTCATCACTATACGGTTCTTCATATTCGTTGTCATAATCTTCTTCGATATCATTGATATATGCATTTTCAGATTGCTCATCATATTCATAATCTGCGTTTTTTTCTCTATATTCATAACAATATAATTCATGACTTGTTATTCGTTTTAATTTCTTTGTTATATTATTTATTACAAAATTCTTTTTTTTAAGATATATTTTATTTTCTCCAAAATTATTTTTAAAATTCAAACTATTTAAAAAAAGATGCTTATATTTATTAATCTGTAGAGCTCTATTAAATATTACATAATAAAGTATTAATAAAAAATAAAATTCTCCAAGAAACATGTTATAACATTTTTTAAAATATTTTACATTTATATATATAAAGAAAATGAAAAAAATAAATATAAAAATAAGATAAAATAAAAGAATAAATAAAGATTTAGCATTTGGAAAATATAATGGTTAATTGTTTTTAAAAATTTACACCAATTAACAATTTAAAAAATAACTTAATATAAAAATGACGAATGTGAAGCATAATATTTATTAACTATAAAAAACTGTTACAATAATAAAATAAATTATTATATATATATATATATATATATATATATATATATATATATATATATATATATATATATAAAATATGTTGTATATACTCATTTATATAATTATTTATCTTATTTTGCTTTTTTTTTTTTTTTTTTTTTTTTTTTTTTATATTTTTTAATATATTTATTTGTTTTCTTATTATAATTTTAATGGCCTCTTTTTTTTTTTTTTTTCAGTTTTTTTTTTTTTTAAAATAAAAAATATATGTATATATATTTTCATAGATATATAAATATTTTTTTAATGAGGTATGTTTAGTAATATTTAGATGTGTTAATATTCATGTTAACAGAAAAAAAAAAAAAAAAAAATTGCAAAAAATTATTATCATTTCTTTATATTAATTATAGTCACTGCACATTAGAATTTAAATTACTTATTAAATATATATTAGGCATTTCATCTTTTTTTCATTTAGTTATATTAATAAAAATGAATATTATCTAAATTTTTTCTTTTTTTTTTTTGTTCTTACAAACACAAACAATTTTGTTAAGATATGAAATTAGCAATTAAATTTTTTTTGTAGATATTTTTTTTCTATATTTCTTATATTTTCTATAGAAGTTAATAATTATATATTTATATTTTTTTATTTGGAATTAGTTTCAATATAATTTTTTTTATAAAAAAAGTATGAATGTTGCATTAATATTTGGCATAACAGGTCAGGATGGTTCTTATTTAAGTGAACTTTTATTAGAGAAGGGTTATGAAGTGCATGGAGTAATAAGGAGGTGTAGTTCATTTAATACAAAAAGAATTGATCATATTTTTGATAAGTTAATTTTGCATTATGGTGATGTAATTGATAGTAGTAACATATGTTCTTTAATATCCAAAGTAAAACCAACTGAGATTTATAACTTAGCTGCTCAAAGTCATGTAAAAGTAAGTTTTGAGGTGCCTGAATACACAGCTGAAACAACAGCTGTGGGAACTTTAAGGATATTAGAGGCAATAAAAATATCAAAAATAAAGAATTTAAAATTTTATAATGCATCAACATCAGAATTATTTGGTAAAGTAAAATGTATTCCTCAAAAGGAAGATACCCCTTTTTATCCTGTCTCTCCTTATGCTATTGCTAAATTATATGCACATTATATAACTATAAATTATAGAGAATCTTATAATATGTTTTGTGTTAATGGAATTTTATTTAATCATGAAAGTCCTAGAAGAGGAGAAACTTTTGTTACGAGAAAAATAACTAGAGGAATAGCAAAAATTTATAAAAAGTTACAAAATTTTATTACACTAGGTAATATTGATACATATAGGGATTGGGGTCATGCAAAAGATTATGTATATGCAATGTATTTAATGCTACAAGAGAAAGAACCACAAGATTTTGTTATTTGTTCTAATGAACAACATTCAGTTAGAGAATTTTGTGAAATTTCTTTTTCATTTGTAGGAATATATATAAAATGGATTGGAGAAGGAATAAACGAAGTAGGTGTAAGTCAAAATAACGAAATAGTTATCAACAAAAGTAGTAAATATTTCAGAAAATGTGAAGTTAATACTTTACTAGGTGATTGCTCAAAAGCGAAAAAAATCTTAAAATGGGAACCGACTTACAACTTTACTCAACTTATATATGAAATGCTAAAATATGATTTTGATGACTATAATATACCTATAGATGATTATGAAACATGCTTAAAAAGATATGAAAATTATAAAAACACAAAAATTTCTGAAATAGTTAATACATAAAATATATTTATAATTTTGTTATGTAATTTATAGTATAATTCTTTTTTTTATTAGAATATTAAACTTTTTATTTTATCCTATGTGTGTTTTTTATTTCATTATTATATTTTATTTATTTATTTTATTTTTTTTTTTTTGCATCTTTTACTTTTTTGTTACATAATGTTTTTCTTGTATTTTTCAGGAATTACATAATAACATTTTATATATTAGCTTTTTTATATGTAAGTTTACTTTTTCTTTTTTCATTATGTTCCCAATATGCTAATTTAATTTAGCTAATTAAAATATATTATCTTCCCGTTTTATATAGAATAGTTTATCATATTTGTTTTTCTTTCTTTGATTTAAACCTTTTTTTTTTTTAATATATTTTCAATTAAAATATTTAATTATTTTTTTTGTTTTTTAACTTTAAAAATGATTCTTAATTTTTTTTTTTTTTTTTTTTTTATTGCAACATAAAATTACATTAAAGATTAAAAAAAAAAAAAAAAAGTTTACTTTTATTTATATAAATGTTTTTTTTCTTTTATTTTTTAAAGAAAAAAAAAAAAAAAAATACCCATATAAAAGTAAAATTAAAAAGTTGTATACATATTTTCATAATACTATTAAATATTTGCATATTTTTTAATCAACATTTCTGAATTTTTTTTTTTTTATAAAAACAATCTCAATTAGTGATATTTTATTCAATGCTATTTATAATGTTTAAGTATATATATATATATATATGAATATATATAATATTTTTCTTGAAAAAAAGCAATTTATCTGTATGATTTTTGATATCTTGCACGAGCACCTTTTCCACCAAATTTTTTTGGTTCACATCTTCTTGTATCTCCAACTAGTAATGTTCTATCATATCTTAATAAAATATCTTTTAATTCTTTTTTTGTAGATTCATCAACATATTTTTGATAGTATGAAATTATTCCTTTACCAATAGCTTGTCTTATTGCGTAAATTTGAGAAGTTTGACCACCTCCTTTAACTCTTATACGAATATCTAAATTTTTTAACTTTGAAGATCCAATTAACCATAATGGCTCATATACTTTTGTTCTTAAAATATATGGTTCAACTAAATCTAAATTTTTACCATTTAATTTTATTAATCCTTTTCCATTGGTTACAGTAGCTACAGCAACAGAAGTTTTCTATTTCAAAAAAAATAGAAATAAAATAAAAAATTAACATTAGATAAATTTGCTAAAGTAAAAATACTACTGTTATATATTAAAATGATATTTTATATATTTATATGAATATATATATATATATATATATATCTATTTTGTTATTTTTCTTTAAAATCATAATTGCTTATTCTTTTGATTAATAATTATATTCATAATTAATGACATGATTAATAAATATTTTTTTTTTATTTAATATTTATATAATAAAATAAAAATATGTTTACTGATATATCTTTTTTTTTTATTATTTTTTTCTTTTTATATATATATGGATTTTCAATAAATTTATAATAATATATAAATATAATTTTTATTTTCTAAAATAAATATTTATTTTTTATAATTAATAATAATACCTTTTTTCCGAATGTTTGAACTCTTTTTACTTTTGTTGTCATTTTTTCTGCATAAAAAAAAATGTAGATTTATAACAAATTTTGAAAAAATATTTCAATGAAATTATCAATATTTTCTCATAAAAAAGGAAAAGTTTTAAAATATGTTTTACATAACAAAAACATAAATGTAATTAATTTGTTCTATTTTTACCATTAAATTTTTAAAGGTTAAATATTTTGTAAATTTAAATTTATATTTCTTTAAAAATAATTTTACTCGTGGTAAATATATACATATATATTTTTTTTTTTAAGAAAAATTTGATAAAAAAAAAAAAAATATGTAGATAATACTATTATTATATAGAGCTACTTTTATACTATATTAAATCATGTATTAATTTAAATAATAAATATACATTATAAATATTTTAAACAAAAAAATAAATAAGAATTACTTATCATTATAATAATTTTTAATATTTTTTTTATTACATTTTTTTTAAATAAAATTTAAGAAAAGTATTGAGGTGTTTATTTTTTTTCAAGCCTGTGCTTAATATTTGCCCACTTTAATCACTTTAAAGGCGTTCTAAAAAAAAAAAAAAAAAAAATGAAAACAAAAAAAAAAATATAAAGAAATTTCGTAAAAATTTTTTTTTAATTGATTATTTTCCATAATAATATAATTTTATTTTAAATATTTTTTTTTTTAACTTTTTGTTTATAATTTCATTATATGTGAATATATTTGAATCCATATATAAAAGGTAAACACAAGAATAATTAAAAAAATTTTTAAAAAAGGCATATATAAAAATACATATTATATTAATGTACTACAAAAAAATATATAATTTTTTATAATTGTTTTTAGTCTATATGAAATATTAAAAAAATTTAAACAAAAATATAATTACATTTATATATATTTATGCATGATTATGTAAAATAAGATATATATAAAAAAAAAAATTATCAAATAAATACTTTTTTTGTAATACAAATTTACATATATATATATTATATATATATTTTTTTTGTACCTTTTAGTATATTATTTGCTTTAATTGTACAAAATGGTATCACATAATAATGTATTACCAAATGTTCATCTTCACAAATGGTGGCAAAGATATGTAAGAGTAAAGTTTAATAAGAATATAAAGAAAGAAAAAAGAAGATTATTAAGAGAAAAAAGAAGAAGAGAGAATGGAGGTACACCTATTGAAAAATTGCATCCAATAGTACACTGCCCAACTCAAAGATATAATTTTAGAACAAGATTAGGAAGAGGTTTTACTGTTGAAGAATTGAAAGTATAAAAAATATATAATTATATTTTTATTTATTATTTTTTTTCACAATTACACATATAGTAACGTTATATGTTCTGCAAATATTTTATATTTCTAATTGAATATATGTAAAAAGTACATTTATATTGTTATATGAATTTTTTTTCTTTTTTTTTTTATCTTTATTAGGGTGCAAAATTATCTTTAAGTGCTGCAAGAAGCATAGGCATATGTGTTGATAAAAGAAGAAAAAATAGATGTGAAGAAACATTAAAAAAAAATATAGAAAGATTAGAAAAATATAAAAAGAGTTTAGTCATGATTCCATTAAAAAAATATAACAGCAAAAAAGGTATCGGTGGTATACCTGATGATTCGGATAAAAAAGTTATTAAAGAGTTAAAGAAAAAGAAACAACTACGTGGTATATTTAGAAATGAAAGAAATACTAAACCATTCTACGAAACTATGGATGTATCTAAAATAGATACATCGTTTTTAGCTTACAAAACATTGCGTAAAGCAAAATCAACAGAAAGAAGAAGAAATAGACAACAGCAAAGAAAAGATATAAAAGCAAAAGCTAAAGATAATTAAAAAAAAAAAAAAAAAAAAAAAAAAGAAAATATATGCCTTCTAATGTAATTCATATATATGAAAAATTTTTATATAAAATAAGATTAAATAATGTGTTTTTTTTTTTTTTTAAATTCATGAACCTTATATATATATAATTATACATTTTTTATAATATTTATGTGATAAAGTAATTTATATCCTTTTATTTATAAATAACTATTAGTTTTTCTAAAACAAAAAAAAAAAAAAAAAAAAAATATAATTATCGTATTATATATATTAAAAACTAATTTTAGAATTAATACAAAAAAAAGAAAACAAAATATATAGATTAATTTTACGTAAATTTTCATTCTATTTTAAATTAATATTATTAATTTAAATATTTAATTTGCAAAAATAAACAGTTGTGAGAAATTTTTATTGTTTATTTAAAATTAAAAATGTAGATATACAATTATTAAAAAAATTTATATATATTTATAAATTAAAATTTTCTATTTTAATTTTATTTGATTAAAAGGTGAAGACAAGTTACATTAAAAAAATGATTTAAAATTGTTTTATTAAAATCTAAGAACAACTTTCTAATTCTCTAAAATAAAAAAAAAAAAAAAAAGAAAACTTATATATAATATAAATTTTAATTACATGTTAATATTTAAAAAAAAAAAAATACTTTAAAATTGTAGGAATATTATCTTCAATTTTTAATTTAATGAATAGCTCTTTAAGAAATCTTTTACATTTACACAATGTTACTGTAAAAAGCAATTTTTTCATTTTTTAAAAATTAATATTTTTTATTACAAAAAAAAAAAAGTAAGAGTAAAATTATATTAAAAACGAAATAAAAAGAAAAGGATCATACCACCACTATATAATATTTTAACCCTTATATCATCACATATTGTCACAAATCGTGTTAAAAGTGAAACTTCTCTTTTATATCTCTAAAAAAAAAAAATAAAAATAAAACATTATTTTATATATCCTAAAACCATTTTAATAATTTGTAAAATAAAAAACACTTACATTACTAGTTCTTATAATAAATATTCTAAGTTTTAAATTTGCAAAAACAACTATGAAAAAGAATAATAAAAATTATATATAAACTTCTCATTTTTTTTTTTTTTTTTTTTCCTAAATAGAATTGTTTTTACTGTAGAATCGACTAAAAAGTATACTTTTAAAAATTCTTCCAAAAAGCAATATAGCTTTTTTATCAAATTCCTAAAAAAAATTTGAAATTAATATATTTGGAAATTTTTAATACAATACTTATAAAATAGCCAAACAAATTACTTCTTTAATAAAAGAGGATAATGGGATATTCAAATTTTCTAATATTTTATATATATCTTCCTCTTTATTTTCATTTTTTATTTCATTATTTTCCTTGTAACAAAGCTTACATAACATCCATATATTATCTTTCTTAACCATGATTAATTAAATATTATATAAATGAAAGTAAAATAGCTTATAAGACAAATACAATGAATGATTATGGAAAAAAATTGATTTTCTATATTTCTTTATATCTTATAAAATCTATTTATTTTTTATAGAAATACTTTTTTGAGATAAAACGAATGACATTCAATTTTATCTTTTTCATATTTAACATTTTTACTTAATTATTTGGGAAAAAATATATTTAGACAAAAACTTTCATAAAAAATTTTTTATATATTTTGATTAATAAATCATCAAAACTAAAAACAATTCAAATTTTTATAAAAAATAAATATTTATTAAGGAAGAAGATACAATTTATTCTGTTATATATTTTTGATTTTGTTTTGAAAGTTTTTTGAATTAAATTTTATATTATTTTAGCAAAAACTTTTTTTTCCAGAAAAGATGTAAACATCTTTTATAAAAAAGAAAAAATATTTTTTATTCATAAAAAAAAAAAAAAATTTATGGAGTTAATTATTTTTAAAAGAATAATTAAAAATATTCACCATAAAAAATTTGCTAAAAAATAAAACTATTAAAACATATATTTTAATATTTGCAACATGAATTTAAAAATATGTTTATATATAAATATAAACATAAGTTAAGAAGATATGTTTATATATTACTTATTTAAAGTGAAGAAATTATATATCATATAGGATTTATATAAATGTATTCAAAATTTTAAAATTCAGATGTACATAAATTCAGAGCAAATTATATATTTTTATCAGTAAATTTGTTAAAATCTTTTTGTTTTGACAATTTTATATTATTTTTTTTTGAGTTAATCTTTTAGATATAATTTATTTAATCTATGTGTCATGTATACAAAAATTTTTTTTTGAATATTTTGAAAAAATAGAATATGTATTATTTTATGTAGTTTCTCCAAAAATTATCCGATAATTGAAATTTTAATATGTAGAATATAATGTGAAAAGCATGCGTTCAAAAAAAAAAAAAAATTTTTCTCTTGTATATACATATATATATTTATATATATATTTATAAAATATCGTTAATTGCACTTTTATCTATTTTAACTAGAGCACCCAATAGTATTAAATATTGAAGTATGCTTATATTTAAAAA